ATCCTCACCAAGTAGAAGACTTACTCTGTGCGGGGGTTTGAAGTGTGGGTTCGAGTTTCTGTAGCCGAGGTGACTTCCTATTACCCCCAATGTAAGGACCGGGCGAACTTGCCCGGGTTGGAGGAATTGGGTTTGGCGCCAACAGAAGGACCGCTGGGCTCTCAGATGCTGGAGGCAGAAAGACGGCCGGGGTTGGAGAGACTTGCGCGTGATCGGTTGAAACTGGGTTTGGCAGAACGACACCCGGGGTCGGGGAGACTTGTACCTGCTGGCTTTTCTGACCGCGGTCGGGTGAGACTGAGCGATCGGTATTGATGCCAGTGTGCTTCTTCTCCTTGTTGCCGAGGAACTGGATAATGAGCGATTCCAGACTTGATTGGCGAGCACCGAGCCGCAGGTTGAGCTCCGAAATAGTAGTGACTGATTTGGTGAGGTCGTGGAGCGTTAGCTCGGCAGTTTCGATGCGGCTTGCAAGTTTCTCAAAGCCCCGGGTGAGACTCTCTTGTAACGCAGCTGGCGTAGTCTCCCACTTGTTCTCCAGTGTCTTGACGGCTTCCCTCACCTCGGCTTCCAGTCTCTGGTGATCACTTCGGATGGACTGCAAATCTTCTTGTGTTTCCTTCCAACGCATGTGGGCAGACTCTTCAATACGGTCCATCCGGCGAGTCGCTCCGGTGATTTTTTCTTCCTGAAACCAAACGGAGGTCTCTAGACTTGCAATTTTCTCCGACAGAGGACGGCTAGCCAAATCTTGATCTTGAATACACCGGGTAATCTCTTCGAGCGCCAAAAGATGTTGTGACAGGGTCATGGGTGAGTCAACCGCCGGGGGGAGAAGGGCACTTGTGTCAATATCTTGTTTTCGGACCACAAATGCCGAATACTCTCGCATAGTAGGGGTAGACGACTCCATGACGCTGACTTGCGCTTGTTGGTCTCGGAGTTTCTGCAGGAGGTCGGCTTGGCCATGAGCAAGTCTTCTGATCTCCTGCTGCATCGTCTGCATGTCGAAGTTCGGTGGGGGGCTCAAGGACCTAAAGTCAATCCTCTTCTGATAGAGCGCCGTGTCAACTAAGTTTTCAAGTTGAGAATCATGGGAAATGAGAAAACAACTTGAAACGTACGATGAACCTCCTTGGGATCTGGTGGGCTGACCTGCCGAGAACGGGATACCGAACGCGAACCTTCTGGCCGGGACGTGCGCTCAACAGGTGGGGGTGTAAAGCTTTGTTGCATATAATTGACAGCCAAGCCCAATTCTATAAACGAAGTCAGCAAAGAATAACGAGTTTCATGAATTTTTTACCTGGCCGCATTGCTAACTCGGGCACGATCCACTCCATCTCACTGGCTGGCGGCCCAATCTCCCGGCCCTTTCCTTTGTCAGTGTTGGTACCGACCTCGGTCTCAGTGCTCTTGAAAATCGCCGATGTGTGTGGTGTGGGTGGCTCAATGATTATGGTGGGAGTCACCCGGCCCACGTCTTTGTCGGCTTTTGA